AGGACACGGAGGGCAAGGTGGGGATGTGGAGGAGCAGCTCTCCGAGAGGGGTGGGATGGGCTCTTTTCCTTCTCCTCAGTCTGCCCCAGGGAGGGTCTCTAGCTGATTTTTTGGATCAGCTTCTCATCAGACAGGCAGTAGAGGCTGTTGATGGACAGGTCCGAGATGAAGTGCTCACAGGCTTTGCGGGTGATCTGTTTGCAACCTCGCAGGTCAATTAGAGTGACGTTGGAGATGCGGCGCAGGTACAGCAAGGCCTGGTCCGTCAGCTTATTGCAGCCTGCGGGAAGATGAGAGGAAGACTGAGTCGCAACGACTCCGTGAAGCCAGCGCTGAGCTCCTGCGTCAGGCTGGGAGGAGGAAGGCGCTTTACGATGGCGAGTCTAGCCAGGCCACCCTCGGTCCATCAGGGCCCCGAGGAAGCCAGCGCGGACCACCCAGAGCAGCGTACCCACCTGCCATGTTGAGCTCGGTGAGGGAGTTGCGTGTGGAAGAGCCCACGGCCGTAAGGAGATTGGCCGACTGGTCCGTAAGGTGGTTGCAGTGGCTGAGGTCGAGGCGGGAGAGCAGGGGCATATGGCGGATGATCAGCCGCAGCGTGGCGTCGGTGATGTCCAGGCCGGCGAGCCGGAAATCAATCATGTTGCGGAGTTTGCTGCGATTGTCCTGACCTGCAAAAGAGGAGGAGAAGCTGAGCGCAGACTATCTGCCCCGCAGTGTCGGTGCATTCTGGATCCAGCACCACCTCCCCGCTCCGCACCCAGCATGTCACCCTCCTCCAGCTCCCCACAACCCGCGGGGACCCTCCTCCGGTCACCACCGCCCCAGTCTTGCACCGTAGCAGCCCGGGCAACAGCTTACTGGGTTTATCTGTTGGAGGCGTGAGCAAGTCCCGGATCTGAGGGTCCTTGATTCCTACTGCCCACCGAAGATCGAGGGTCCTGAGAAGGGGGCAGCTGGAGGTACTGAGAGCACAGACCGCAGACCAGGAACAGCCTGCTAAGATGAGGTCTTTCAGGCCTGTCGGGAGAAGGGGAGAGGTACAAGTCAGACGAGCTTGGCCAGCTCCGAGGATCTGATCATCTCAACCCTCTTTCTCCAGGCACATGAGGAAGCAGCTCCCCTCCCTGGGGTGGGACAGGGAGCCGGGCTCTCCGAAGAAGAGGTTAACACACAGTAGCAGGAAACCACATCACTACCGGCTGCTTGCTGGGTGATGGGATCCAGGCACCCAGGAGTCTCCAAGCTGGTGGTTACCTGGGTGCAGAGCCTGTCTCTCGATGTGGTCCAGCCGTCAGAAAGCCTCGGAGCAGGCTGGTGGCAGAGGTAGGGACCCCTCCCCAGCCCACGCTCACCTGGCAGCCTGTTGACAAGCCACGTAAGCTGTTTTTTGGAGATATTGGTCCAGCTGAGGTCGAGGCTGACCGGCTGTCTTTTGATGATGCCGCTCAGCGCCTGGGGGGTGATGGACTTGCACCTGCTCAAATCTATCTTTGTCCACAATCTCTTGTCACAGCACCTGGGGACAAGGACAAGGAAGAAAGTTGAGCCCCGAGAGCCCCGTGGGACAAGAAAGAGCCAGGGGGTTGCCTGGCTTCAGGGAGGAGCCCAAGCCCTGGCATGTCTCCAGCCACAGAACGAGGCTGATGTGTCTGGTTTCCCCGAACATGTGGGGAGGTTGCTGAGAGTGTCCGGCCACCCAGGGATGCTCAAAACAGCCTCAGCGGGGTTTTGCTGCCATGTAACAAGGCTTTGGCAGCCCGCTTGCCCCCTCCTGGCTGCTTCTCCCAGCAGGGTGAAGATCTTAAGCATCCTTGCTCCCAGGAGGCACAAAACGCTCAGCCTGGTCCCACTCCACGGCCTCGGCAGTGCTCGCTGCTTCGGCGGGAGCTGCGACAGAGCCCGGAGGTGGCACAAAGTCCTCCTCTCCCACAGGAGCCTGGGGAGACCCAGGACCCGATGGCAGCTCAGCTGTGCCCCCGAAAGGTGCCACACCAGTGGCAGGTGAGGGGACACGCTCCTCCAGCCACCATGCCACATCATTCCTACTGGCCGCTGATCAAAGCGGGCTGGTCCTTTCCCACTGCGCCATTCCCACTGCTCGGCAGTTAGAAACCTCCCAGTTTCCAGTCCCCGTCTGTTCCCAAGCCCTCCATCCACAGCTGTCCCGGTGCCAGCATTGTCTTCAGGCCTGCTGCCCCCCCGCCAGGCGTTTCCAGCCAGCAAACCCATCCCCTGCCTTCCCCTCCCTGCCATGAGGCCGAGGCAGGACGGGAGGCAGGGAAGGGCAGGGACCACGCAGGGCAAGGGGATGAGGAAAGGGCACGGGCACCTCGCAAGGACACAGGAGGGGACAGAGGTGCTCAGGTGACAGCACAGCCTGCCACCATCTCCCAACAGAGGGGACAGAAGGAAGGCAGAAGGGGAAAATAAAGACCAGCGCACGTATGGCAGAGGCAGCAGCCAGCAGGCCTGGCCACGGGGTCCGAGGGCAACGCTGCCTGGCAAGTGCCAGCTCTGGGGAGCGAAGGGAGGGCACCAAGGAGAGATCCCTTCCCTCTGGCTGCCCATCAGGCACAAGGCTTGGGGCAGCCGTGCCCGGTCCAAGGGTCAGGACGTGGGCAGGCCTGGCCCCCGCCACACATCCCCACACTCACCACTTGTACCAGGTCTTGCACACCCGCATGCACTCGCAGAGCTCCCTGCGAGTGAGGTAGCGGAAGACGGACATCCACACCTCGCGCTGCATCCAGCTCTCCTCGCCCTCCTGCGCCCGGCCCCCTCGGCCATTGAGCCGGG